ACCATCTTCTGACATAATGTTGAGAACACCATCTACTGACAAATAATGTTGAGAACACCATCTTCTGACATAATGTTGAGAACACCATCTTCTGACATAATGTTGAGAACACCATCTTCTGACAAATAATGTTGAGAACACCATCTACTGACAAATAATGTTGAGAACACCATCTTCTGACAAATAATGTTGAGAACACCATCTTCTGACAAATAATGTTGAGAACACCATCTTCTGACAAATAATGTTGAGAACACCATCTTCTGACAAATAATGTTGAGAACACCATCTTCTGACATAATGTTGAGAACACCATCTACTGACAAATAATGTTGAGAACACCATCTTCTGACATAATGTTGAGAACACCATCTTCTGACATAATGTTGAGAACACCATCTTCTGACAAATAATGTTGAGAACACCATCTACTGACAAATAATGTTGAGAACACCATCTTCTGACAAATAATGTTGAGAACACCATCTTCTGACAAATAATGTTGAGAACACCATCTTCTGACAAATAATGTTGAGAACACCATCTTCTGACAAATAATGTTGAGAACACCATCTTCTGACAAATAATGTTGAGAACACCATCTTCTGACATAATGTTGAGAACACCATCTTCTGACAAATAATGTTGAGAACACCATCTACTGACAAATAATGTTGAGAACACCATCTACTGACAAATAATGTTGAGAACACCATCTTCTGACAAATAATGTTGAGAACACCATCTACTGACAAATAATGTTGAGAACACCATCTTCTGACAAATAATGTTGAGAACACCATCTTCTGACAAATAATGTTGAGAACACCATCTTCTGACATATAATGTTGAGAACACCATCTTCTGACAAATAATGTTGAGAACACCATCTTCTGACAAATAATGTTGAGAACACCATCTTCTGACATATATTGTGAGCAAAGAAATTCAGGCATATAGAACTTTGTATTTCTTGCAATTCAAATGCTTATTTATGTCCATTTAATTAGATATAGAAACATTTCTGTATTTCTCTTCAAGAAGATTCCTTATTAATTTAGGCAAGTGTTAATGTATCTGGATTTAAGATGCTGTTCAGAATTGTTTTAAATGAGGAAAGAATACATCTTTACACTACAGATGTCCTGTGATACACCGGCACCTTCTGTCCTGTCTAGATTTTGGCAGTATAACAGATTGGCGATATAACATAGTTTCGGTGCGACAATTGAATGATGCAACTCATGTGTTGTAAAATACATTGGTACAACAGAAACAAAGGTTGCTTACACTTAAGTGAATAAACCGAATGAATGGACCTGTAGTCATTTGCTGTTCTATCTGTAGTTATACAGTTACAGGAATGGTAGAGGTAAGACAACTCAAACTGTATGGAAATATGATAGAAATTATACAACAGATAGCACTTTCAAATTAAACCCTGAGAAAATAACCCAATTTTTAAAAAATCTGAATTTTCAAAGAAATAATCCCCACAGTATGCTTCTTTAGCCAATTTTATCATGAGTTAGACCAGAGTAGTATACCGTAGATAATATATAAACTAGAAGAGTAGAGCCAACATTAGTTTTAAAGTAGGTAGGTTGATCAGTGCTGCTCGTTGGGTATGTTGCGATTGAAAGTACCTTGATTCATTTAGATAATATATGTAACAAAATCTTTTTTACTTTTACATATTTGGAAATGTTAATTTATCAAAATGTCTCTTAAGAACCATTTCAACAATTACCAGTTCATGTTATTGATTGGTCACTTATAATGTGTTAATTGGAGTTCACACATCTTGTCATTGTATTCTTACTGCATATTTCACACCTCACACAATGGAAAAGTGTGACTTACAACTCACCTGCTACCACACTACACTGCAATCATGATTACATGAATAATGACTGTGTTTAGTGGACTGTGAACTGGTTAGGGAAGGGGAGATAATCTATAAAATAGTAATGATTAAATCAGTAGTACTAATGAAAGAAAGAGTTTCAATTATAGCATAATAACGAGATTTACAACAATAACATTACAAATCTTTGACTTTTATATATTTCATATAGTTAACAACATATTTTTTTTATTTCTTTGTCACAAAAATGTAATAAAACATCCTCCACATATTTTGGAAAAAATATGTGATCTGCTTGAGTTATATTGTGTACAGTATATTTTACATTAATTAAATCATACTTAGAAAGATGCATAGAGGAAATACACAGGAGATGAAAGAGCTCCTTGTATGGAAACAGTTTTAGTATCTTGCATTTTTAAACTATTTTGCTCATTATCAGAATATACAACTTACTGTTTTTTCTCCACTTTCACTTACTCCAGAACAGATTTTCCCCTTGTATCCAACAATTAGAATATACAACTTACTGTTTTTTCTCCACTTCCACTAACTCTCAAAATTTCATTGTCTTGCGGGAACCGTCTTATTTTCCAGTGATGTTTTCAGCATGAATGGAAAGCAATGGCAGACCTGTTTGTTCTCATCAGCATGAAAACTAGCATTGTCACTTATTTGAGCTTTTAGAATTAGTATTAATAAATCATCAATTTGAAATATGAAACATGCATGTACATTTAAAGTTTTGTTGATGCCAATGTAAGCAGCATGATATGTACCATTGTGAGTATCGATAACATTTATTTCAGGGAATGAGACAGATTTAGAGGTAAGGTAAGACTGGAAGATCATTTCTGTGACAGAACAGCCATCACCAATAGTCACATTTTTAATGAATTCTTGAAAGGGTTTTTTAAAAAGATTGAAATAAAGATTTTTTTTGTGGTTAGTTTAACGACACAATAACTTACAAAAATGCAAAAACAACAAAAGCAAGACACGTTTTATGTGTGAGAGTTGTTTATTATGTTAACATCAGGTAATTTAGTTGTTACCTGCACAAGTGTATAATACATGCAAGACTGATGCAGGGTTGGCGATAAAAGTAAAGGTAGTTGGAGTTGGATGTGGGATGGGGGGTTGGGATGAGAGTTATACTGGGGATTTGACTGTATGTATAGGTACATAAAATTGACATGTATGTGTGGAAACAAAATTACAGAAAATATAAACATGATGAGCATATATCTGGTTGGGGTCAGTCTCATTCTCATTTATCTCAGTCTACTGTTGTCTATTCACAATTTTATGAAGTGCCTGTGTCACCATCACAGAAACAGCAGGCCTAAGGTACTTTGTAGTCGAAACATCATTCATGATGACTGGTGTAACACTTCTTTGATTACAAAGTGTTTGCTACTAAAAAAATATATAAACTTTATTTATTTTACAACAGTTGCGAAAGAAGTTATTTCAACTTATACTAATCACTTTTGTTGGGCCGGATGTAGGCGCGCGAGGGGTCTTATTGTAGGAGGAAACCGGAGTACCTGGGGAAAACCCACATGGTGGGGCAGGTGACCCTTACCTTTTCATGTCCATTCCGAGAGTTAAACCTTGGACAGCTAGGTGAAAAGCGAGTGCCTTACCACCTGACCACCTTACTAAACGTCAAGGTTGTTCTTCATGATGGCAGAAACCCATTATCACTTCTAACATTTGCAATTACATCAAATTTATAAATCATTTGTCAGGTTAATTTTATAGCAATATGCTTTATTAGAACAAACTATACATTAGCTCAAAGTACTGTTTTCTAATGCAGACTTTAGAAATTCTGAAGTGAGTTCTGACCAAATACCACAATACTACAGTGTTCATTTACCTTTATCAACCAGAAGACAAATTTATAAAATGTTTGCGGAAAAAAATAGTTTATCCATTTGTTGTTAGCAATGACGTATGGTGTCTCAGAAGAATTGAAATATATTTCATGATCTTATAGTAAATGTTATGATAAGTGTATATAGAAAGGAAATGAGTAGACATGGAAATATTGATTTTCAAGCTGTCAAAGTCCTAACAGTTTGTCTATCATTCCAGAGTGCTTTCTGTTGTAGGATCACTACTCTGTACCATACAAGATTGACTAGTATCATGTTATTGCTGCATGTTAAAGCATTCTATGCATAATCCATTTGTTGTACAGAACATAACAATAACTTGGATTTATTGGTCATATAAGTTACATTTGGAAAAACAAACACCAGTGTTCCTTATTGAATTATTTGACCATCTCAGATATAATTCTGCCATGAAATTAAAAATTTATCAGACTTGATGTACACACTGTAGCAGGTCTAAATATCAAAAGACTTGTTATGTACACCCTCAGGGAGGATATCACAAGACTTGTTAGGTACACCCACAGGCTGGATATCACAAGACTTGTTAGGTACACCCTCAGGGAGGATATCACAAGACTTGATAGGTACACCCTCAGGGAGGATATCACAAGACTTGTTAGGTACACCCTCAGGGAGGATATCACAAGACTTGATAGGTACACCCTCAGGGAGGATATCACAAGACTTGTTAGGTACACCCTCAGGGAGGATATCACAAGACTTGTTAGGTACACCCTCAGGGAGGATATCACAAGACTTGTTTGGTACACCCTCAATGAGGATATCACAAGACTTGTTAGGTACACCCTCAGGGAGGATATCACAAGACTTTGTAGGTACACCCTCAGGGAGGATATCACAAGACTTGTTAGGTACACCCTCAATGAGGATATCACAAGACTTGTTAGGTACACCCTCAGGTAGGATATCACAAGACTTTGTAGGTACACCCTCAGGGAGGATATCACAAGACTTGTTTGGTACACCCTCAGGGAGGATATCACCGGACTTGTTAGGTACACCCTCAGGAAGGATATCTTGAAACTTTTTATGGTCACCATAATGGAAGATGTGAGGAAATTTGGCTGTGATTTAGCCTAAAATGTGTACTTAATGTATAATGCTAACTTGATTTGATTTATATATTTTCCAGATCTAATGCTACTGACACGAGAGGAAGTCAACTGTGTATAATTTTGTGTGTACCCTGATCACAGGAAATCAACATGGCTGCATTTATTGCCAAACAGATGGTTGGTAACCAACTAAAGTCTGTAAAAGGTAAGGATTTATCTCGCTATAGGGCCAATACCGCCCTATATATGTATATATATTTATATAATATCCATTTATATACGATATATATAGATATACCCGAGACCTACCCTTTACCACTGGGGCTGCAATATGCCTCACACAGATGGTTGGTAACCAAATCATATCTGTACAAGGTAAGGGCTCATTTTTCACTTTATTAATTCCGGTCTATAGAACATCAAATTCTATATCAGGAATCTCCTTCAGTTTCCTAGTTTAGGTTTTCACACATTTAAAAATCCTAATTCACGCAATCATATTTAGTTTACTTGTAATTTAAATTTTTCACTTTTTATCAAGGTATATATAGTCAAATATATCACAATTGAAAGTCAGTTTCAATTCAGAATCATGCACTATATATCTCACCAGCACTTTGTTACCACCAGTGTCTCCCTATATATATTTATGTATTTATGTGTCTCCGTTTGTACCCTGTATTTGCATGTCCTTTCATCTCTCTTTGGATGTGTTTTCCTTTATATCCCATATTTGTGCATCTATGTGTCTACCTCTATATTCTATGTTGATGTATCAAAGTGTTTACCTATACCTTACGTTGGTGTATCCATGTGTCTCCCTTCATAACCCCATGTTGGTATGGTCATGTGTCTGCCCTTATACCCTATGTTGGTGTATCTATGAGTCTACCTTTATATCATATGCTGGTGTGTCCACGTGTTTCTCTATATGCCCATATGTGTGCATATCCATGTGAGTTCCATTTATACCCTATGTTTGTGTGACCATGTGTCTGCCCTTATACGCTGTGTGTCCATGTGTCTGCCCTTATACGCTGTGTGTCCATGTGTCTGCCCTTATACGCTTTGTGTCCATGTGTCTGCCCTTATACGCTGTGTGTCCATGTTTCTATCTTTATAGCCTATGTTGGTGTGTCCTTATGTCTGCCCTTATACTTTTTGTTTGTGTGATGATGTGTCCCCCTTCATCCCCCTATGTTTGTGTGACCATGTGTCCCCCTTCATCCCCCTATGTTTGTGTGACCATGTGTCCCCCTTCATCCCCCTATGTTTGTGTGACCATGTGTCCCCCTTCATTCCCCTATGTTTATGTGACCATGTGTCTGCCCTTGACTCTTTGTGTGTTCATGTGTCTCCCTTCATCCCCCTATGTTTGTGTGTCAGTGTGTCTCTCTGTATAGCCACATTTGTGCATATCCATGTGTCTCCTTGTATACCCCTACCCCTGTGTTTTGGTTTTTCCCTTGTTCCCCTTGTTTGTCCTCCTATCAGTGTGCATGTCAGTACTAGGTTGACTGTCTACATTGTAATAGCATGTTTTCAGGTTGTCGGTCTATTCTTTCAATTTCTCTACCTCTGGATTTTCAATATTGTTGGTTTTTTATTTAGGATTGCATGTTTTTTGGAATAGCATGTTTTGTGCTATTTTGCTAGTTGTCTTTCTTAGGATAGTAGGTTTTGCCACTTGTCCATCTCAGAATTTTTCTTTTAAATTGCCTGCAAGAATTGATTTTTTATCTTGTTTGAAAGGCTACACAGAGCAAAGTTTCTTCTAATGATGTTAAGAAGGAAAGGTTTCTTCTAATTGTTTTAGGAAGAAATAGTTTCTTCTAAAGGTGTTAGGGAGATACAGTTTCTTCTAATGGTATCGATTGGTGTTAGGGAGGAATAGTTTCTGGTAATTGTGTTAGGTAGGAATAGTTTCTTGTAATGGTGTTAGGGAGGAATAGTTTCTTGTAATGGTGTTAGGGAGGAATAGTTTCTTGTAATGGTGTTAGGGAGGAATAGTTTCTTGTAATTGTGTTAGGTAGGAATAGTTTCTTGTAATGGTGTTAGGGAGGAATAATTTCTTGTATTGGTGTTAGGGAGGAATAATTTCTTGTAATGGTGTTAGGGAGGTATAGTTTCTTCTAATGGTGTTAGGGAGGTATAGTTTCTTGTAATGGTGTTAGGGAGGTATAGTTTCTTGTAATGGTGTTAGGGAGGAATAGTTTCTGGTAATTGTGTTAGGTAGGAATAGTTTCTTGTAATGGTGTTAGGGAGGAATAATTTCTTGTATTGGTGTTAGGGAGGAATAATTTCTTGTATTGGTGTTAGGGAGGTATAGTTTCTTCTAATGGTGTTAGGGAGGTATAGTTTCTTGTAATGGGGTTAGGGAGGTACTGTTTTTTTCTAATGGTGTTAGGGAGGAATAGTTTCTTCTGATGGTGTTAGGGAGAAATAATTTCTGTTATTGATGTTAGGGAGGAATAATTTCTTGTATTGGTGTTAGGGAGGAATAGTTTCTTTTAATGTTGTCAGGGAGAAACAGTTTCTTGTAATGGCGTTAGGGAGGAATAGTTTCATATGGGTTTTTCATATTGCTTTATAGGTACAGTTTCTGCTATGTGGTGTAAATTTGGAAGAATTTATTTTATTGGTGCTTGGAGTAAACTGTAAAGAAATGACTGGTTGTTTTAAGGAGTAAATTATTAAGAAAAGACTGGTTGGTTTTAAGGAGATAACCATTTTTGGATATGGCATTATGTCCAGTAACAGGGGACTCCATCAGAGGAGCGGTAAGTGTGAGAGGGTAGATGTCCGTGTTAGCTCTGTTTTGTGTATTTATTAGGTGCTATGGGTGACAAAGACGGTGAGGGGGGAGATGCATCAGCTGAAGATGGCCCTAATTCAGAGCAGCAGAATGAAATAGAGGAAGCACGCAGAGAGGCGGAGGAGAAACGAAAGGAGAAACATAGAAAGATGGAAGAGGAAAGAGAAGATATTCGACAAGGCATACGAGATAAGGTAAAGAACCTTACTCCAAAACAAAGGTTCCATCTCCTGTGGTTTATCTCTGATGGGGTGGCATTCCTGCTTCAAGAGTGTTATTAACTACATCTAGTTAGACCTGGTGACAGTTTATGTATTGTAAGGACCCCGCATTGAGATTCCAGTGCCCTATAGTAATGAGCTTGTCTGTCAGTGTGTCCATCCGTCTGTCTATTTTTGCCTTCCGCACAATAGATTTGTATTTGTTGTCGGATTCTCACTGAATTTGGTATGTGACTTTATATTAATGAGACCTCACATGGGTTTGATAACCATTGAAATCTGTCAATATTTCCAAGAGTCATGAGACTTTGAATGCTGAAAATGTACCGTTTTATTACTTTCTGTAAACTGTGTATTTGCAGTCCAATTTTCACTATATTTGATATGTGGATTTATGTACACGAGATGTGGCATAAATTTTATAACCATTAAATTCTTTTCATAACTACACGAGTTATAGGACTTTGAATGCTGATAAAAATGATCATTATTACTTCCCTGATAAGTGTTGTTCATTTTAGTGCTGATTGTAAAATCCAATATAGCCACCATGTTGATTTTAGTGCAGATCAGAAAATCCAATATGGCCACAATCTCTCCTGAGTGGCTGAGGCATTTTTGACTTTTTGACAAAAATAACTGTTGCCATTGACTTCTAACTTGATACAAATGATCATCATGAGGTCCTGTACAAATGTTGTGGGTTTTTCAAGCACATTGCAAAATTTTAAATGTTTGCTGTGTATAATTAGACCTGGCGAAAGTTTGTCTGTTGTTTGCTGTGTATAATTAGACCTGGCGAAAGTTTGTCTGTTGTTTGCTGTGTATAATTAGACCTGGCGAAAGTTTGTCTGTTGTTTGCTGTGTATAATTAGACCTGGCGAAAGTTTGTCTGTTGTTTGCTGTGTATAATTAGACCTGGTGAAAGTTTGTCTGTTGTTTGCTGTGTATAATTAGACCTGATGAAAGGTTGTCTGTTGTTTGCTGTGTATAATTAGATCTAGGGTTGATTTACCCTAGACGTCTGCTGTAAAAGTCCTGAAAATAGAAGGAAATTGTGATTTATATAGGATCTGTTTCACAACTTCCAGGACATCGTTTTATCTTGATAATATATTATTGTATTTAAGTTATTGTTATACTTACTACTGAGGTCTTGCGTTTCTGTACCTAGTTTTATGATTTTTTATTTGATTTTTGTCAGTAGTGATTTTACTCAGACAGTTCAGACAAAATGATCGGTGTGATAGTCGTGAAATATCAAATTTAGTCTTTGGCTCGTCAGTTCTAGGCAATTCTGATTGACAAGATTGATAAGATGGTCCCCACTAGTAGTTATTGTAGATTTATGGAGTTTGTTACCACTATGTCAAGTATCCAGTTTGGGTGCTGCTTGTTCAGGTCTGATCATGATAAGATGGTCCCCACTAGTAGTTATTGTAGATTTATGGAGTTTGTTACCACTATGTCAAGTATCCAGTTTGGGTGCTGCTTGTTCATGCCACATTACCAGGTCTGATCATGATAAGATGGTCCCCACTAGTAGTTATTGTAGTTTTATGAAGTTTGTTAGCACTTCTGTTAAGAACTATCTAAAGGAATCTTGTTGAAACTTCTGCCATGTGTTTATTACAGCACATGGTGGTAAACCTCAGTGTTATGAGATATAGAAGATTACCACCAGTGGTCATTTTGAACTTTTGGACTTTGGACTTTATCAGTTTGTTACTGACATTATTGTGAGGGATCTTATTTAATCTTTGGTATAAGTTCTATATGGGTTCCTGTGAATTGTTCAAACATTTTTTATTTGGATATTTTTTATATTTTTTTCAAGGTTATCTATAAAAATCATTCTGATATTTTCCCACACATCCAGTCTGTAATGTAGATGTTTATGTTTATAGCTCTGTCAAATATTCAAGACAGATTCAAGTAGCCATTATGAAGTTATTGCTGCTGAGATATCTATATTAAATCTGAGGGACATGTTCAGTATAGAAGGTGTTGGTTGTGAAAGTCACATTTTAGCCCTGATTGGTCTGTCTGCTTTCTATTCAAGCTCATGTTTTTGAAGTAAACTTCCAGATGTATTCCAAATTTATCTTCTGATAAGAACAGAGTTAACATAAAGACAAATTCACAAGTGAGGAAGGCAGATGGTCCAGATATGATTTATGATGCCTGAGATGATGAGTACCGTGACCCCTCTGGGAGTTCTTATTGCTTAAAAGGAAGCTTCAATGGATTGGATCATTTATTTTACAGTATGGAATCAAGAAAAAGGAGCCAGAAGTAGATCCAGCCTCACTCCTACAGGAGGATGGAGATGGACGACTAGGTCGCAAGAAAAAGACACCTGCAGAACTTGCAGCTGAGGCAAATGCTGATTCAGAGGATGAAGATGAATTTACAAGTAAATTTTCAGCCTTGTGTTGCTGTATGAACTTTGTGTGATAACAGTTTCATTTATATAACATTTTCTGTTTCTATATTCATCAATATTCGAATGTGTACCACACATTCATTACACCTCCAAGCATGACTTACTTGTATATATGTCACACCTTTGACTTACCTGTACAACAGTTAACACATACAGATGTGACTTACCTGTGCATCTGCCACACTTCCAGACTTGATTTACTAGTACAACTGTCACACCTCCAGCGGTGATTTACCTATGAATCCATCACACTTCCAGACATGATTTACTTGTATATCTGTCATCTCTTCAGATGTGACGTTACAGTACATCCGTCACACCTTAAAATTTGACATATCTGTACATCTGTCACACCTTTAGATGTGACTTACCTGTACTTCAGTCGTACCCTCAGGTGCGACATATCTGTACATCAGTCGTACCCTCAGGTGCGACATATCTGTACATCTGTCACAACTTTAGATGTGACATATCGGTACTTGTGTCACACCTTCAGATGTGACATACCTGTACATCTGTCTCACCTTTTGATGTGACATATCTGTATGTATGTCACACCTTCACATATCGGTACTTGTGTCACACCTTCAGATGTGACATACCTGTACATTTGTCACACCATCAGATGTGACTTACCTGTACATCTGTCACACCTCCAGATCTGATTAACATTTGTCATGATTTCAGGTAGAAAATTACTCATGTTTTATTTCTTTTGGTGCTATTACTTTAAATTTCTTTCATTTTCTTGCATTATGCTTTACTTCTATTTCCTAAATCTCAATATATCTGTGGGAAATTTTAGAATAAAGCCAAATTATTAAGTTCTGTTGGTTACAATTCATACATGTTTGGAACAGGGCAGATCAGTCAGTATACCCGATAGGTAATTTTTGAAAGAAGGTTACTGAATTGTTGAACCTTAATGATAAGTCTAAACCTTACTGTGCTTAAATAAGAAATCCAGAGTTGAAATTATTTTCCTGATAAATAATGTTGATGCAAAGGATATTCTTCAAAATTACTTTATTTATCCTATGATGTTGTCCTCTCTGAATCTGCTGCCATTGTCATTTCATTTTTGGAAAGAATGATAAAATCCTTGCATCATTTATATAGCTTGTTGTCGCCATGATTGTAGGACTCCATAGGGACACAAAGTCTTCAGAAGGAGTGAGAGTTACGCCCCTTTCATTACAAATCATTGTTGTTTACTCTCATCACACTTGTTAATTTTCATTTCCAAATCTGTGTTTAATAAGTCACTTGGATTGGAAAAGAGGCAGAGTTGACAGTGATTCTCTCTGGTACATCTTATCTAAATAATAAATGGTTGTCAGAGACTTAAGACAAAAACCAGTGGATTTATTTAATATTTGTAATGATAACTGGTATTTAATGAAACAATTTTTTTATAAAAACAATAGCATGTTGGATTTAGTGATATGAAAACTAAAAATGGAAATTAATTTTCTCCAAAAATTGACCAGAGTCTCCATTTTATTTAACAATTTGTATAATGCTGTCTGTTCTCTGCTAAGTTATTTTGAATTATTGTAAAGTCAGTTACACAAGTTATCTCAATCACAATGGACTTCAAATAGAAATTAATATGAAATCAATGGTAGGCTCATTCAACATGACATTAATGTCTGCGTGTATATGTGATAACTTTGTTGATAAATATCATTCTAGAAGATTGAATTCCTAGCCTGTTTAACATTGACTATATGATTACAATGGACAGCCCTGGGAAGGATGGGATCAATCTTTAGTATCATGTTTATATGTAAATTCATGTTGATATTAAAATTATATAAATTTTCTTGTTAAAGTTTGTTTAAAAAGATAAAATCTGACATGTATGTAGATCTAAGAGTGATCAGTATGTAGTGATGTATTAGATGAAACTGATCTGAAGGCTTTTTCCTTTATACAACTAGTACAATGTACAATAAGTTTCAGTTTTGAAACTTTACATCGGGGACCAAATACATCAACAATTGTCACCTCAGGGTAGCAAATGTAAATGTAACTATGTTAACCAATACTATAAATGTAACTACGGTAACCAACAATTTAAATGTAACTGATTACTAGCCTTGTAAAAAGAACTGTAGTAATCAATGCTGTAAATGTTACTATGGTAATCAATGATGAACATGATGAAACATTTAACTTACACTGTACACATACAAATACTGTAAATGTAACCTTGGACACCTACGCTGTACAGATAAGGGCGACTAGCCATGACCTGGCAGTGTCCTGACACTGTACAGATTAGGGCAACTAGCCATGACCTGGCAGCATCCTGACACTGTACAGAGGACAACTAGCCATGACCTGGTGGTGTTCTGACACTGTACAGATAGGGACAACTAGCCACGACCTGGTGGTGTCCTGACACTGTACAGATTAGGGCAACTAGCCATGACCTGGCAGCATCCTGACACTGTACAGAGGACAACTAGCCATGACCTGGTGGTGTTCTGACACTGTACAGATAGGGACAACTAGCCACGACCTGGCGGTGTCCTTACACTGCACAGATAGGGACAACTAGCCATGACCTGGCAGCATCCTGACACTGTACAGAGGACAACTAGCCATGACCTGGTGGTGTCCTGACACTGTACAGATAGGTACAACTAGCCACGACCTGGCAGTGTCCTGACACTGTACAGATAAGGGCAACTAGCCATGACCTGGCAGTGTCCTTACACTGCACAGATAGGGACAACTAGCCATGACCTGGCAGTGTCCTGACACTGTACAGATAGGGACAACTAGCCATGACCTGGCAGTGTCCTTACACTGCACAGATAGGGACAACTAGCCATGACCTGGCAGTGTCCTGACACTGCACAGATAGGGACAACTAGCCATGACCTGGCAGTGTCCTGACACTGCACAGATAGGGACAACTAGCCATGACCTGGTGGTGTCCTGACACTGTACAGATAGGGACAACTAGCCATGACCTGGCAGTGTCCTTACACTGCACAGATAGGGACAACTAGCCATGACCTGGCAGTGTCCTGACACTGTACAGATAGGGACAACTAACCATGACCTGGCAGTTTTCTGACACTGTACAAATAAGGACAACTAGCCACGACCTTGTGGTGTCCTGACACTGTACAGATTTGGAGATGTAGCTTCAACCTGGCAATGATCTGACACTGTGTAGGTTTGGGGAACTAGCCACGACCTAACAATGGTCTGACACTGTGTATGTTTGGGGAACTAGCCACGACCTAACAATGGTCTGACACTGTGTAGGTTTGGGGAACTAGCCATGACCTAACAATGGTCTGACACTGTGTAGGTTTGGGGAACTAGCCACGACCTAACAATGGTCTGACACTGTGTATGTTTGGGGAACTAGCCACGACCTAACAATGGTCTGACACTGTGTATGTTTGGGGAACTAGCCACGACCTAACAATGGTCTGACACTGTGTAGGTTTGGGGAACTAGCCACGACCTAACAATGGTCTGACACTGTGTATGTTTGGGGAACTAGCCACGACCTAACAATGGTCTGACACTGTGTAGGTTTGGGGAACTAGCCACGACCTAACAATGGTCTGACACTGTGTATGTTTGGGGAACTAGCCACGACCTAACAATGGTCTGACACTGTGTAGGTTTGGGGAACTAGCCACGACCTAACAATGGTCTGACACTGTGTAGGTTTGGGGAACTAGCCACGACCTAACAATGGTCTGACACTGTATAAGTTTGGGGAACTAGCCACGACCTAACAATGGTCTGACACTGTGTATGTTTGGGGAACTAGCCATGACCTAACAATGGTCTGACACTGTATAGGTTTGGGGAACTAGCCATGACCTAACAATGGTCTGGCACTCAGTATTTAAAGGGAAGTAGTCATTACTTAACAGTGTTATGAGACAAGATAATGAGGAAGTTCAAAACTTGATTTTTAAAATTTTTGTTATGTTCTTAAATTTTAAGTTGTAGAATGTTTAGTCATAGTTATTTACTTTTAGTAAAATTATGAAACAGGCTAGATATATATACTGGATGTGTTGATGCTCAAATTTAATGGTTTTATGTTTTTACAATATTTTCATGATATTATCAATTGTATATGTGCCATTTATCAATATGTGTGCAATATTTATATATGATTTGAGTGTGAAACATCCATGTTCAATAGAGTATCTTAATATTTGAACATCTGTTTACAATATTGATGTAGGATTTTCCTGTAATACTTATATGTTTAAATGTATGTATACAATAGTGATATAGGATTTACCTGTAATACTTACGTGTTCAAACATCTGTATACAATAGTGATTTAGGATTTACCTGTAATACTTATGTGTTCAAACATCTGTATACAATAGTGATATAGGATTTACCTGTAATACTTACGTGTTCAAACATCTGTATACAATAGTGATTTAGGATTTACCTGTAATACTTACGTGTTCAAACATCTGTATACAATAGTGATGTAGGATTTACCTGTTATAATTAAGTGTTCAAACATCTGTATACAATAGTGATGTAGGATTTACCTGTAATACTTACGTGTTCAAACATCTGTATACAATAGTGATTTAGGATTTACCTGTAATACTTAAGTGTTCAAACATCTGTATACAATAGTGATGTAGGATTTACCTGTAATACTTAAGTGTTCAAACATCTGTATACAATAGTGATTTAGGATTTACCTGTAATACTTAAGTGTTCAAACATCTGTATACAATAGTGATATAGGATTTACCTGTAATACTTACGTGTTCAAACATCTGTATACAATAGTGATTTAGGATTTACCTGTAATACTTAAGTGTTCAAACATTTGTATACAATAGTGATGTAGGATTTACCTGTAATACTAAAGTGTTCAAACATCTGTATACAATAGTGATATAGGATTTACCTGTAATACTTAAGTGTTCAAACATCTGTATACAATAGTGATTTAGGATTTACCTGTAATACTAAAGTGTTCAAACATCTGTATACAATAGTGATTTAGGATTTACCTGTAATACTTAAGTGTTCAAACATCTGTATACAATAGTGATGTAGGATTTACCTAAAATGCTAATGTGTTCAAACCATTGCAGTCAGAAAATTTAAGACTCAGTTTGATTGGAAACAAAGCACAGCAGAAATTATTTCAAATAAGATGGTTGTGTTTGATTGACACTAAGGCTGATCACCTATCACACTCCATGTATTAAGGGACAGTATCATGGCCTGTTTTTGTTTCAGTTTTGATGTTGAACAAATATTAACTATGATTATCACTTTTAATAAATAAGCATGAGTACTAGAAACCTTAGAACCAAACCATGGCACAATGTGTCACTTCAATATAAGAGGTGTACACTGCACATAACATGTTCCTATGGTAATACTACCATCAATATTGTGAATTCTTTTATATATAAAAACAGTATTTGTTGTGTGATAGTGTAGACTTTTTAAAAACTTGGTTCCTGAATGGAGCATAAATCGCATTTCATGTTGACTTTAGACTCTCAATTCAAGTTCCAAAGTTCTAACAATGAAATTACTGCAACATAGTCTGTCCTTTTTCTGTCTCTGATGTGAAATGTATGTCCCTTTAAGGGGAAATAAACGTACATCATTTAATTTTGATATCATCATGAATTCAATAGCACCAAACCTTCTACCCCACTCCATGCCCTGCTATAAGTACATAATTATCCAAGTTTATTTGAGCAGGAATTGTATTAGATGCAATGTATTACTGATTGTCTACCAGTGTTTATGCCCAACCAGTGGCCATACTTCCAGTGGCCAGCTCTAAGGTCATCCCTACATATGGCTAGACTTAGTTGTAGCAAATTGCTGCTGTGGCCAACCCTACCAGTAACCCCATCTTGTAGTCAATCCTGTCTGGGCACTGCTAGCAGTGGCTATCGTCATGGTCACCCTACTTGTGGCCAACCCTACCAGTAACCTAATCAACTGCCACCCCATCTTGTAGTCAATCCTGTCTGGGCACTGCTAGCAGTGGCTATCGTCATGGTCACCCTACTTGTGGCCAACCCTACCAGTAACCTAATCAACTGCCACCCCATCTTGTAGTCAATCCTGTCTGGGCACTGCTAGCAGTGGCTATCGTCATGGTCACCCTACTTGTGGCCAACCCTACCAGTAACCTAATCAACTGCCACCCCATCTTGTAGTCAATCCTGTCTGGGCACTGCTAGCAGTGGCTATCATCATGGTCACCCTACTTGTGGCCAACCGTACTTGAGGTTGACTCTTTACCACTGATAGTTTTTGCCAATGGCCATATCCAGGGTCACTCGAACAGGTGGTCAACCTTACTTGCTGCTGTCCTTTTATCAGTGACCACCCTACATACAGCCATCTCTAGGATCACCCCAATAGGTGGCCACACTTACTTGATGCTGTCCCTGTATCAGTGACCACCCTACATACAGCCATCTCTAGGATCACCCCAATAGGTGGCCACACTTACTTGATGCTGTCCCTGTATCAGTGACCAACCTACATACAGCCATCTCTAGGATCACCCCAATAGGTGGCCACACTTACTTGATGCTGTCCCTGTATCAGTGACCACCCTACATACAGCCATCTCTAGGATCACCCCAATAGGTGGCCACACTTACTTAATGCTGTCCCTGTATCTCTAGAATCACCTCAGTAGATTTGAGCTGATTTGATTTAAACTAACTCCAGAAACATACTCTTCTAGGAAAAGGGAGGCAACTATTTCAAAACAAATTGTTGGAAGAACCTTCAAACGAGATAATATTGACAAGGTTTATAATAGTAATAAAAGTAACGCTGGTACACTGTGCATATCAGTGAAAGAAAAGGGCATTCTCAACAGTGTTAACTTAAACCTCAATATGTATGATATATGTTTGTATCAACAATATATACAACTACATTTGGGTAGGAAAGGTAAACTCCTTACATTTAATGTTTTATAGCCAGAATATTGTCTATCCTTTGAGGTTAAATATCCTCCATGTTGATATTGGTGAATTGCTGTGTTCCCCAGCATTGTTGGTATAGTATCCCTGTAACATAGAATGCCATGCCAACTCCTTGGTTGTGATGCCATCACACCTTAGTCATTTTAACCTTTTCTCTCCCATTTCTTAATTCCATTTTGTCTGTATGTAATGATTTTCCTCACCGTTTTGTTCCATTACCGTCTAAATTCTTTTCATTTTGTTGCTTTTTATATTTCTTTGTGCCCTATAGAGTCCCAGCATTGACAAATTTCCTCCAATGAAAACTTAGATACTGCCATATTACCGTGTAGTAATTACATTTTCAGGGGTGAAAATCAGTGGAAATTTATTTTCATTTTTCCTTGTTTACAGAGAAATCCACATGTTTTGTTGTGTATAAAGTGGCCCTGTCTGACTAGGGAAATCTAAAGTCTGCACAGTCTTAAGACCGCTTATATGTAACTGGTGTCACAAAGATAGATTCCCCAAGAAAATCAGAAAATAAGGCATATTTACTATAACAGTGTCTTACAACAGACTCTGAGACAGGTTCTCACTATAAATACTATAATTACATGATAGACGAGGAAGAAAAAATGACATGGTTCCAATGAGTTTTCTTTATGTTTTCCAGTGCCAAAAAGTCTTGATGAATTGAAATCGAAAGTGGTCACTAGTGTTGGGGAGGTAACTGAAAAGTGTACACTACAGTGAGATATAGGGCAAGGCTTGCTTTCTTATGTAAGTAATTCTCCCAGTGTGATGCACTGTAGTGTAGCCTTCTCACCTCTATGTTGTCAGCAGTTCTATAGTTTCCTTGCTGTCGTGCTACCTTGATGTTGTGTATATGTTGTGTTGTACAAGTTTTCTCTAGATTGTCTCCCTTGCTTACCTCCTATGACTAAGCTCTTTTCTTGGAAATCTACATCTAAGACTTGGTGATTTGGGGTTTATCTATTTTTGTCTCACTGAACAAAGGAAAAGGAATAAGACAGAAGTGTAACTTTGCCATCAGCATCCATATTTGAGCTGCATTTTGCAGTGTCCCAGGAATTGTAAGTAGTACGGGGTGTAATTTTGGTGTAAAGTAGGATCAGAGATTGGCCACAATTTCAATGAGAAGAATAAGAACCAAATGAAAATTAATTTCTTTGATTTGTAAAGCTCTTTCTTATATAGGTATTTTTATTGAGAAACACCAGCCACCATAGTTATGTCCCATGATTTCATTTGTCAGACTAGATCATAGGGTATCACTAACCAGAAAGTATAAAAAGAAAGGGTTTTAATTTGTTTATCATCCATTTTTAGGATAAGTTAATATTGTTTGTCAGACAGGTACTTAGTCTCAGTTCAGATAACACTTTTAAAAATTATTTCCTTTTCATTAATATCATTCCTTGAATACATGTGTTATGAATGTCTAGCTTATGATAACATGATCATATTTTGAAAGTTTCTAAATAAGTCTTTCTATTCTCAATAGGTATTATGATTGATATAATTAAAAAAACAACCTATCAATGTTTGCATGTGTTGCTGTGGTAAAAAGTGTTGTTAATTAAGCATGTGATCACTAGATACTGTATACAAAGGAAGAATGAGTCTACATGTCTGTCATCAGTCAGTTGTCATGGTTTTGTCCCTAAATCATTCTTGTTATCACTATTTTTCAAGAATGTGTTACAGGGATTTTCCTCAAAATTCTCATATTGGTTCCCTTCAAAACCTTCTTGTGTTAAACCAGAAGACTAAAATGGTTGAGGGTAAGTTGTTATGAATATTTCTTGGATCTCACTTTGATTTTATAAGTGGATTCCATTTAGCTGTGGCCGTGGATTGTGTCAAAATTTGGCAGTCAATAGTCTACTATTGCTCTTTCTCAGATGGTAGCTGATAGAGCTTTTTTGAGTTGTTTTGAAAGATTGTCTGGGTCATGAGTTGTGCATGTTTAATTGGAAGGATATGATAGTCAATAGGCAGCCATTTTGGATTTTCTTTCGCAGAGATTGATTTTTTAGATGTTTAGAAGGCATGTTTCATAGACAGGCTTCAGTTGAGCTTATCAATATTTTTATGCTGACCGGGAAATTCAAATGGCTTTCAGCAGAACATTGGAATGTGTTTTTAAGTTTGTTATATGTGTTTTTAAAAGAGTACTCGATGCAGCCATGTTGGATATCAATTCATACGAGTGAAATCAATTTTCATTGAAAAAAAGATGTTGTTAGACTCTGTAACAAAATCTAACTGAAAACAATTGTCAGAATAATTAATTATGTGTAGATTTTATGATTATTAATCTATTATAATAAATTTGGTTTTGATTCCTTTATGTTCAAAGTGAATTAACAAGTGAGTGTTACAGTTGGACCTGTTGTGAGCTGTAGGTGACCTGTACTGTTACCAGTCAGTTGGACTGTCGTTGATTGGTGGTGACCTGTACTGTTACCGGTCAGTTGGACCTGTTGTGAGCTGTAGGTGACCTGTACTGTTACCAGTCAGTTGGACTGTCGTTGATTGGTGGTGACCTGTACTGTTACCAGTCAGTTGGACCTGTTGTGAGCTGTAGGTGACCTGTACTGTTACCAGTCAGTTGGACTGTCGTTGATTGGTGGTGACCTGTACTGTTACCGGTCAGTTGGACCTGTTGTGAGCTGTAGGTGACCTGTACTGTTACCAGTCAGTTGGACTGTCGTTGATTGGTGGTGACCTGTACTGTTACCGGTCAGTTGGACCTGTTGTGAGCTGTAGGTGACCTGTACTGTTACCAGTCAGTTGGACTGTCGTTGATTGGTGGTGACCTGTACTGTTACCGGTCAGTTGGACCTGTTGTGAGCTGTAGGTGACCTGTACTGTTACCAGTCAGTTGGACTGTCGTTGATTGGTGGTGACCTGTACTGTTACCGGTCAGTTGGACCTGTTGTGAGCTGTAGGTGACCTGTACTGTTACCAGTCAGTTGGACTGTCGTTGATTGGTGGTGACCTGTACTGTTACTGATCAGTTGGACCTGTTGTGAGCTGTAGGTGACCTGTACTGTTACCAGTCAGTTGGACTGTCGTTGATTGGTGGTGACCTGTACTGTTACCGGTCAGTTGGACCTGTTGTGAGCTGTAAGTGACCTGTACTGTTACCAGTCAGTTGGACTGTCGTTGATTGGTGGTGACCTGTACTGTTGCCGGTTAGTTGGACCTGGCGTGAGCTGTAGGTGACCTGTACTGTTACCGGGCAGTTGGACCTGTTGTGAGCTGTAGGTGACCTGTACTGTTACCGGTCAGTTGGACTGTCGTTGATTGGTGGTGACCTGTACTGTTGCCGGTTAGTTGGACCTGGCGTGAGCTGTAGGTGACCTGTACTGTTACCGGTCAGTTGGACCTGTTGTGAGCTGTAGGTGACCTGTACTGTTACCAGTCAGTTGGACTGTCGTTGATTGGTGGTGACCTGTACTGTTACTGGTTAGTTGGACCTGTTGTGATCTGTAGGTGACCTGTACTGTTACTGGTCAGTTGGACCTGTTGTGAGCTGTAGGTGACCTGTACTGTTACCAGTCAGTTGGACTGTCGTTGATTGGTGGTGACCTGTACTGTTACCGGTCAGTTGGACCTGTTGTGAGCTGTAGGTGACCTGTACTGTTACCAGTCAGTTGGACTGTCGTTGATTGGTGGTGACCTGTACTGTTGCCGGTTAGTTGGACCTGGCGTGAGCTGTAGGTGACCTGTACTGTTACCGATCAGTTGGACCTGACGTGAGCTGTAGGTGACCTGTACTGTTAACCGGTCAGTTGGACCTGTTGTGAGCTGTAGGTGACCTGCACTGTTACCGGTCAGTTGGACCTGACGTGAGCTATAGGTGACCTGTACTGTTACCGGGTAGTTGGACCTGTTGTGAGCTGTAGGTGACGTGTACTGTTACCAGTCAGTTGGACTGTCGTTGATTGGTGGTGACCTGTACTGTTACTGGTTAGTTGGACCTGTTGTGATCTGTAGGTGACCTGTACTGTTACTGGTCAGTTGGACCTGTTGTGAGCTGTAGGTGACCTGTACTGTTACCAGTCAGTTAGACTGTCGTTGATTGGTGGTGACCTGTACTGTTACCGGTCAGTTGGACCTGTTGTGAGCTGTAGGTGACCTGTACTGTTACCAGTCAGTTGGACTGTCGTTGATTGGTGGTGACCTGTACTGTTGCCGGTTAGTTGGACCTGGCGTGAGCTGTAGGTGACCTGTACTGTTAACCGGTCAGTTGGACCTGACGTGAGCTGTAGGTGACCTGTACTGTTAACCGGTCAGTTGGACCTGTTGTGAGCTGTAGGTGACCTGCACTGTTACCGGTCAGTTGGACCTGACGTGAGCTATAGGTGACCTGTACTGTTACCGGGTAGTTGGACCTGTTGTGAGCTGTAGGTGACGTGTACTGTTACAGGTCAGTTGGACCTGTTGTGAGCTGTAGGTGACCTGTACTGTTACCAGTCAGTTGGACTGTCGTTGATTGGTGGTGACCTGTACTGTTACCGGTCAGTTGGACCTGTTGTGAGCTGTAGGTGACCTGTACTGTTACCAGTCAGTTGGACTGTCGTTGATTGGTGGTGACCTGTACTGTTGCCGGTTAGTTGGACCTGGCGTGAGCTGTAGGTGACCTGTACTGTTACTGGGCAGTTGGACCTGTTGTGAGCTGTAGGTGACCTGTACTGTTACCGATCAGTTGGACCTGACGTGAGCTGTAGGTGACCTGTACTGTTAACCGGTCAGTTGGACCTGTTGTGAGCTGTAGGTGACCTGCACTGTTACCGGTCAGTTGGACCTGACGTGAGCTATAGGTGACCTGTACTGTTACCGGGTAGTTGGACCTGTTGTGAGCTGTAGGTGACGTGTACTGTTACCGGTCAGTTGGACCTGTTGTGAGCTGTAGGTGACCTTGAACTGTTACAGGTCATCAGTTGGATCTGTCGTTGATTGGTGGTGACCTATACTGTTACTGGTCAGTTGGGCCTGTTGTGATCTGTAGGTGACCTGTACTGTTACCGGTCAGTTAGACCTGTTGTGAGCTGTAGGTGACCTGCACTGTTACCGGTCAGTTGGACCTGACGTGAGCTATAGGTGACCTGTACTGTTACCGGGTAGTTGGACCTGTTGTGAGCTGTAGGTGACGTGTACTGTTACCGGTCAGTTGGACCTGTTGTGAGCTGTAGGTGACCTTGAACTGTTACAGGTCATCAGTTGGATCTGTCGTTGATTGGTGGTGACCTATACTGTTACTGGTCAGTTGGGCCTGTTGTGATCTGTAGGTGACCTGTACTGTTACCGGTCAGTTAGACCTGTTGTGAGCTGTAGGTGACCTGTACTGTTACAAGTCAGTTAGACCTGTTGTGAGCTGTAGATGACCTGTACTGTTATCGGTCAGTTAGACCTGTTGTGAGCTGTACGTGACCTGTACTGTTACAGGTCAGTTTGACTTGTTGTGAGCTGTAGGTGACCTGTACTGTTACCGGTCAGTTGGACCTGACGTGAGCTGTAGGTGACCTGTACTGTTACAGGTCAGTTGGACTTGTTGTGGGTTGTTGATAATCTGTACTGTTACAGGTCAGTTAGACCTGTCATGAGCTGTAGGTGACCTGTACTGTTACCGGTCAGTTAGACCTGTCATGAGCTGTAGGTGACGTGTACTGTTACAGGTCAGTTAGATCTTTTGTGAGCTGTAGGTGACGTGTACTATTACA